AAGAAAAATCTTACAATGCTGTTTAAAAAGTGCATCTGTAGAATACCAAATGCTGTTACTAAGCTTAAAACTGTCAGCGTTAATGATCAATTGAGTATTTTCTGCTGTCTACATCTTCTGCAAGTTAAAAGCCGTGATTTACCTATATAGGGAAGAGAGCCTGAGGAAATGAAAGATTTTCCCTGCATGAGAACCCTGTCATAATTATATTCACAAAGGTTTGAGTGGATTAATTTTTTTTTGCAACAGAGAAGATTTGCCGGAGTCCAGAATTTGAAAATCCTGCATAAAGTGAAGATGATTTTGCTTGTTTTTATCTCATTAGAAAACAAGTAACTACCAAGACTTTGTCCTTGAAAGCATTCGAAACATTTCCAACAGCAGTGTTCATGTGAGTGTGGTTATAAATTGGGACAGACTGGTGAAAAATTAGCTTGGGACTGTGTCAGATGGACCAGCCATAGACACAGCTGTTACAGGCATGTGTAAAGACGGAAGACATCTCTAATGTACTGCAGGGTTTCTTCTCTCTAATTTTAGGTAACCTTCTGCAATCCTCATTGTATTTATTTTCCGTGTTAAAGAACACCTAAAAAAAAAAAAAAAAAAAATCCAGCGCACATGATTACAACACATCGGATGGCAGCAGGGGGAGGGCAATATGAAGCAGCTTGTCATTGTACTCAGAACAAGGTCAATTTAATTTTGTTCAAATCAGTATGTTGTGAAGCTTATGGATTAAATCAGAAACACTCCCTCAGATACACTCACTCTATATATAGCTGGTACACTAGCTGGTTCCTGTGAAGTGGTGGTTTTACAGCATGCTTAACCACTTCAAGTCCGGACACTTTTACCCCCTTCCTGTCCAGGCCAATTTTCAGCTTTCAGTGCTATCACACTTTGAATGACAATTGCGCGGTCATTGTCATGGTCATTGTCATTGAATATTGTACCCATATGAATTTTTTAGCATTGTTTTGAGACAGATAAAACTTTATTTTGGTGGTATTTATTCACCACTGGGATTTTCAGAAGTGACATCTTGCTCACTACTTTTCATGTAATCACTGATTGGCCAATCAGTGATCACATGATTGGGACCTCACACAGAAGTCCCGTACAGCAATTGGTGTTCTGTTGTGTCCTCCGGACGGTGCCGCACGCTCCCATGGAGCGCGCATAGCTTGAAAATGTGGGCACCTTTTCGGTCATGCCCCTTTGACAGAAGCCGGACAAACATATGGCTTCTGTTGGACCAGCTGCTGTACATACGGGCCTAATGTCGGCCGATTCCTGGCAATATTTGGCCTGTGTGTATGGGGCTTTAGGCTGCCTATCACCTGGGCAACTAATCGAAAAGGTTTGTGATGCAGAGGGGGTGGATCCAAATTCAAGTAATAAAAAGTCAAGATTTGCATATAATTTCAGCTGCATATCTCTATGCATCTCTAGCTTTCACTGAAGGTAACCCCAGTGAGTGTCTCTCTCAACCTGTCTTTCTAACAATAACAATACACATTGGTTGATATACTGAAGGCAAAAAAAGCTGTTTAATTTGCAAGGGTATTTTAAGGGAATTTTCCATTGGCTTAATAAATATGGTGAAAATTCATATTAATATGGAAAAAATACGTATTATTGCAGTCTATAGCTCATAGATCACTTTGCCCAGCCTGCCTCAACCTGACCCTACTTGTCCAATATTGATCCAGGACTGTGCCCATCTGCAGCAGCACTCTCCTGCAGCTGTCAATCAAATCCTGTGAGGAAAGAATGGGGGTTGCAGTCCCAAGCCACACTATGTGTGTCTGAGATGCACACAGCCCAGCTAGGGAGCAAGCCCGCAGGTGTTCCACCATAAGAACTTCATATGGAGGCACACAGAAAAGAAGAGGAGTGAACAGCACTGGTGGGAGATCCTAGAATAGGAGGTTTGGGACCTCTGTGTGCAATACCATAGCACAAAGCAGGTAAGTATACCATGTTTATTATTTTTTTATAAAAATGTCTTTTATAACTGCATTAAGGTGGCTATAAATGGATCTTAAGCAGGGGCTGGCTGAATTTCGATCCATGTGTGGCCACTGCAGTTTAACAGAAGTTGATCTATTAATCGACTTCTTTTCAACCACCCTGTTAAATAGAAGCCACTCCGATCAGTGGCTGCAGCCAATGGCTGCTGTGCTGATCTGTGTATTCTGACAGTCTTCCTGCTGTCAGAATTCATTAGAGCAGTGTGGGGGATTCTTCCATTCACCTTGAATGTGATGATGGGGCAGTTGGTTCAGTTTTTTTTTTTGTTCAACCAGCTGGCTGAACGAAAAAAAAAAAAAACCTGAACCATGTATGGCCAGCTTAAATCCTTTTTCTACCTCATACTCCTTAATCTTAATGCCTATTTGCTTCTGCCTTGCTCCCCTGGATTCAATGTGTTTAGCCCTGTTTTATGTCCAGCCTTTTTGAAACTTGTGTGTCCTTATTGTATTTGCAATCCTGTGATTGTCATCCTAAACCCTCTCCAGGTTATCTGCCTGCCTGCCATCCCAGTAAAGAAAAGCATTTGTTGTGCAGTAAATCATAGTAAGCCTAAACATCCTTCTGAAAAAGCAGTCTTTAACAACTGCCTTTCTTAATCAGTGTTCCAGAGGTTACAACCTAATACAGCTGGCATAGTTCTGGTAACACCATTATTTAGCACGGCAAAAAGCCTGGGACCAGTGGAGCCACTGTTCTCTCAAGTAAGTAACCACCAACACCAAGGATCTTTTTAGATGCCTGTAAGGGGGACATTCTTCCCAATGAAACCAATGTAATAGATCATGCTTCCCACTGACCCTCAATATAAGGGAGCACTGACCAGAAAAGAGGAATTCTTACCTTTATCCACCAATGTCAGAGGGTATTTGTTCACTGACCACCAGTGTGAGTAGCCTTTCTCCATCCAACTGCAAATGTAATCAAATCTTTTTACACTGTCCACTAGTGCAAAGGAGGATCTTCTTCCACCAACCACCATCGTAGGCGGCTCTCCTGCACAGAACACCAATGTAAAAGGGCCTTTCTGAACTGATTACAAATGGAAGGGGACAAGTTTCCATGGACCACCAACTTAACGTGTCACTAAACCCACAACATTAAAACTATCAATAAATGCCATATTGCAAACTGTTCATACTCACTCAGTCACTATGGTATTCATTTTCTGTACTCTGAAAAAAACTTGGTTGATCCTGCTGTTCTCTCTCTCCCCCTTCTGTTCACGTCCCCAAAGCAGCTGGGGGGTTTTCAGAGCAGTGTTAGCAGCTACTGCACATGCTCAGTTTTCAGTGAGTTTCTATGCTGATCATTTCCTCTCTATCCAATCTGAGCTGCCCATGGGACTATAGAGTCACACATGTGGGCATATGCACAGTGGTAAATGACAACCCGCTCCTTCCCTCCTTCCCCATTTGCACTAAGCAGCTAAAGACAATGGGTTGGGATAATACATCTTCATTGATGGAGCCTTCCCCTCCCTGTTATTCTAAGACACAGGCTGCAGGGGTGTGACACAGCCTGTGTGCAGCAGAAATCCAGCCACACCATGTTATTGCCAAAAAATTAAAAAGATTTGATGTCAAATATATATTTGTATGACTATCTATAACAGTTTATTGATATTAATTATTTATTTTTACTCTGTTTCCTAAGGGCTGTGTTTTTTTTTTTTAAACATTTTAATCAGTGGCAGAGGAGTAGAAGCTCCTCCTGCCACTATTTCCCTGCAGACAGGCTGGGAAAGAGCTGGGTCAAAGCTGTATATCAATTAGGAAAAAGGTTCTTAGATTTTTTTTTAATATTATTAAAATAATAAAAGTGCCATCATCCACATACAGAAAGAGAAGGGATAATGTAAATTAAACAGTGTCTTTAGTATCACTTTAAGTGGGCCCTTTCCCCCCTATGTAGCACCTACTGTATATAGCAGGGATTCCATGAGACCTGAAAATAATTTAAAGAATCCCTTTGTGGTAAGCAGTCTGAGAAATGCTGCTATGTAATACATAGAGTATACAAAACCACAAATGTCTAGATCTGTGCAAGAGCACTTGTTCTGCTTTGTCATGAGTCTGCCCGTGTTTTGTAAATATGTCTTGTTGCATTGGGTAATATTGATGTCTAGTACCTGACAGTTCTGATTCCTCACTTTAGCAACAGACCTTGGGCATTTCACTTGTTTTCAGTTTCTGTCTTTGAACCTTCAAACCTCCATCCCATGACTATTAGCCCCCTTGTGCCTATTATAGGTATTTACCTTTTTTTACATATTTGGAAATGAAGTGTTAAGATATTATTTTAAGATGAAGATTTTTTTAGAATGCAAAAAAAAGAAAACATTATAAATTGTCCATTGCTGCAAGTTACCACTTGGAGACATGTCATAGAAGGAGAAGATAGTGATTAATAATGGCAATGTGCATTTACATCAGTATGTATGGTAGCTGCAGCTGGTCTCAATTGAGATGCTTCTGTGTATGCCACATAGAGCTGATGAACGCTTTTGGTGTAATGAATTACATCAATTAGAAGTGTGAAAGGAAAACAATTGAACAGCAGTTTATGCATTGTCCAAATGCCATGGAATAGTGTTGTAAGACCAACCATAATAACAGATGATAACAGATCAGGGTATGCAGTGTCTGCATTATATGCTACATAAATTATTTTATGTATACAGTATATGCTAAAAGCAAAATTTAAGATCTAATTTTGCAAAACCTCTAATTAGTCAAGGATGGGTGATTGCTGTGATGGACTTTATGCATGCAAGCTGAAAGCGCAGATATCTAAAGATGTTATTGCATAAAACTAAACATGGTTTTTCTAAATCAGGTCAACAGAAGAAAACAAAACTATGGCCACAAACAGTGAGATGTCAAAGGCAAATATTAAATCTGCCCAGGGGCGGACTGACCGTTTGGAAACTCAGGCACTGCCCGAGGGCCCGGGGTAAGTAGGGGGCCCCATGAGATGCCCCTGGTACCTTTTTCATAGGCTTTTTTGAGTTTGGGCAAGGACACAGGGGCCCCATGATCCCCTATTGCCCGGGGGCCCCATGAGTTGTCAGTCCGCCCCTGAATCTGCCTATTGAAAAAAATAATCATCAAGCACCGGGTTCTAATATGACATTAACCTCCAATAGATGCAATATTACATTTTACTTTGGAAGCTGTGAAAGTATTCATTTTCGGTGAAAAATGAAACAACAACTGGATTAATCATAAAGATTTTTAGCGTAAGGCGTGTCACAAGCCTGCTCAAATTTAAGATAACCAGGACTTGCTGTTAGATAAGATCTTCCAGGTTCCCTTAATCACTTCAATACTGAACACTTTTACCCCCTTGCTGCCCAGGCCAAATTTCAACTGTTAGCGCTCTCACACTTTGAATGGCAATTGTATGGTCATGCAAGGCTGTAGCCAAGCTATATTTTTATCATTTTGTTCACACAACTAGAGCTTTCTTTTGGTGGTATTTAATCACCACTGGGTCTTTTTTTTTTTGCTAAATTAATGAAAGAATAGCAAAAAATTTTAAAAATGAACACATTTCTCTTTGTTTCTATTATAAAATTTTGCAAATAAATAATTGTTCTTCATAAATTTAGGCCAAGATTTATTCTGTTACATTTCTTTGGTGAAAATACCCCAAATCAGTATTTATTATTTAGTTTGTAGGAAAGTTATAGAGTTCACAAACTATGGGATATATCGGGAAATTGATCAATTCTGAAGTACTAATGACCAATCTAATTTCTTGAGGCCCAAAAATGTCAGGACAGTACAGATATACCCCAAATGACCCCTTTTTGCAAAGTAGACAGTCCAAGGTATTTAGTAAGAAGCATGGGGAGTTTTTTGAAGTTGTAATTTTTTGTCATAATGTTTTGAAAAATGAAGAAATAAACATTTTTTTTCTTAACATACTGTCACCTGTGGAGTACAGCGTCAGCATATAACTGGTGTGGTGGTGATCAAGAACACTGACTGGGGACAGTATGGAAAAAGAAAATCAATAATTTTATTTACATTTTTTTTTAACTTTTTTCTTTTCTATACAATTTTTTTTATAACACACTGTGACCAGAGCAGTATATTGTTATCATAGTAACATTGTACCACTCTGGAAAAGTGATCAGTATTTTATTTATTTATTTATTTATTTTTTACACATTATGATTGCGTATAGCAAAGAATTTCTTTGCTATAAGCAAGCATTTAACTGAATGAAATTGATTCATTCAGGTTTTTTTGTTGTGATTAGCTGTGATTGACCACAGCTAATCACATGACACAGATGGGCTGTGATTGGCCCAGTCTGTACATGTGATTACTGTGACCATTTTTATACAATAGTGACACTTTTGCATACAATGGATGGCATGAAAGGAAGCTATCCTTTGTTTACAACTGTCATGTAACTTGCTGGGATTGGTCACATGATACTGACATCAGGCCAGTACACAGATCTGTCATCGGCTGTGTCTGAGGCACACAGCTGGTGACCGATCATGCCACAGCGTAGCCCTGCTGGCTCGCATGAGGCGCGATCCCGGATGGATGTTATATAACACCCACCTGGATCGACGAGAGTCCCACTCGGCCATCATTTTGCTATTGGCCGAGCAGGAACAGGTTAAAGTGGTTGTAAACGCTCACATATACCCAGTGAAGTGACTGGCCTCAGCTGAAACACATAGATGAAACTAATCCTCCTACATAAGTTGTACCTGTCTATCTGCAGCCGTCTGTCACCTCCATCCATTCAAAATGCAGAATCTACACAGAATCTCTCAGCTCTGAATATCAGGGGGTGGAGAGCTGGCGTTATATCAGTGATGAGAGCTCTGAGAGCTGATTGGAGGGAAGGGACACACCTCTCTTCATGCAGCACACAGGAACAGAGAAGAGGCTGATAATCACGGACTGTGTCCTCCCATGTCACCATTTCTCTCTTGGTGTCAGGAAAACTCATCAGAAGTGACTCGTGCTGATAGCAGAGGAACGAGACAGCAGTTAGAAATGACACTTAGCAGATTGGAATGAGACAAGCACACATTTAAGGATATGCTTTGTTCATATTTAATGTCAGAGGTTTACAACCACTTTCATCTAGCAACAATTTGTCTTTAGCTATGCCATATAATTGATTTTAAATGATTGTAATAAAATTGTAGGCTGGAAATTTTCATTGATATCTTATATTAATATGACTCTTAATTAAAAGGATTTAGTGGGCTTTCATGTTTTGTTGTTAATAATCAAAATGATTCTATTGAAAGCAGAGATGATAAATCCTGTAAATAAGTTGAAAAACTGTAGTTTGTTGTATGCGCCTTGGAGGCTTGTCCTGCGGAGCATTGACCTTTATATTTATATAGCGAGATCGCAAGCTGTCAAGGTCTTATGTTCCAGCAAAGACCTTCAATAACACTACTGCAACGGCTGAACATAAATTCCCCAGTCTCTCCATGATATTTGCCTGTATTAAAGTATTCTACACTTATTTTCTACACATTTTCTGTACATTTAACACATTCAGTGACTTTATTCAAACACAATTTGATGAAGACATCCAAGGAACTTAAAATTACAGCAAAATATGCTTTAATTGGAAGTCACTATAGTTAAAAAAAATGATTGGCAGATAATTGCTTCAAAGGTTCTACTACTTTTATTGGTACAACAACTGCATCATAGTTCCATAGCAGGGGCAGACTGACCATTTGGAAACTCAGGCACTGCCTGAGGGCCTGGGGTCAGTAGGGGGCCCCATGAGATGCCCCTGGTACCTTTTTCATAGGCTTTTTTGAGTTTGGGCAAGGACACAGGGGCCCCATGATCCCCTATTGCCTGAGGGCCCCATGAGTTGTCAGTCTGCCCCTGTTCCATAGTTACATACATATTTTGGCTGAAAAAAGGCAAAGGTCAATCCAGTTTAACCAAAAAAATGATCATTAGAATGATTAACTTAGAAGTTCATTATCACCTAGAGAGGGTATACAAGCAATAAATTTACATTGTGTTTAAAAGTGGCACTGTTATGAATGCACAGCTTTTTTTACCCACTTTCCCATGCATCGTGTGGTGTCCTGTAGATATGTATAGAAACAATTTTAATTTTTTTACTGAAATTAATGAAGAATGCTATTTTAATTAATTCCCTGCCAACAAAAAAATTACACATTTGGCTGTAACATGAGTGCTGCTCAACTCATAAAGCTCTTTTTAACATTTTATTTGTACAAACAAAATATGTGGATTTATCCATTTAAAATGCAGTTCCCTTTTATGTCTAATGTTTACAGTTACTTTTATTATAATTTATTCTAGATCACATCTCCATACATAGCCACTGACCTGTAAAAATATCCATGATGACACCAGTTCTTTAAAAACGATGTATTTTCAACATTAGCATAGCCCTATATGCTCACAAATGTATTACATAAAAAAACATGCTCCCTTGTGATAGCTGAAACTGTATAGAGAGCGATAAAATAATTACGTTCACAAGACTGGTCACTTGGTCCTAAAACCAAAGGGCATGACCATTGTCTGGCTTTCTCTCCCTGAACATCATTCTTGGACTGATAACTACTTACACAGAGATCTAAACATTTGCAAGCTTTCCAAGAAAAAGTTAAATGAAAAATAAGAATAAGAATTGAACAAGCTGAAGTTAGAAGCTAATTGGCTACCATACACAACTGCACCAGATTTTACACTCTTTGGTTTTAGTAAATCAACCTCACTGTGTCCTTCACCCCCAACCTAACTTCAATGGTTAAACTGGCCCTAATGTTATAATTTTATATGGGCAAATCTCGTAACACTTTACCCAATCCTGAAAACGAACACGTAATCTAACCCTAACACTTTACCTGTCATTTAAAGTTTAATGCCAGCCTCTCACCCACCCCCTGACACTCACCTCCTACCACCCCCAAAACACCTACTGATCTTTTTATTAAAAGAAAAAACAACAGCATACCTTTTTTTCTGCAATCTTCTAAGTGGTCCGATGATATCATGACAGCTTTCATGCTCTGGTTGTAGCGGAGGACAGGCATTCTTTCAAGACTTAGTGGAGCTCACATAATGATGTGTGAGTTATATAGTTACATAGTCTGGCTGAAAAAAAATAAAAGTCCATCCAGTTCAATCATTAAAAAAAAAAAAAGTTATCATCCTATACCCACAGTTTATCCAGAGGAAGGCAAACCCCCCCCCCAGCAAAGCACGATCCAATTTGCTCCTGCAGGGAAAAAAATTCCTTCCAGATCTCCCGAGAGGCAATTGGATATTCCCTGGATCAACGTTACCTATAAATGTTAGTATCCAGTTATATTCTGTGTATCTAGGAAAGAATCCAGGCCTTTTTTAAACCAATCCACTGAGCTGGCCAGAACCAACTCTTGAGGGAGTCTATTCCACATTTTCACAGCTCTCACTGTGAAGAAACCTTTCCATGTTTGGAGATTACATTTCTTTTCCTCCAGACATAAAGAGTGCCCCTTTGTCCTCTGTGATGACCTCAGGGTGAATAGCTCTACACCAAGTTCACTATATGAACCACTGATGTATTTATACATGGTGATCATATCCCTTAATCTCCTCTGCTCGGTTCTGGAGTACTGTGAGTCCAGCCTGTGTGATGACATGCCTCGTGAAGCAGATTGCATGGCTGATCACTTTTCAGGGTGAGGCTAAACAGCTGCCAACCTGCTGCCTCCTGAATGATCGTTTGTTCTGTCGAATGGCAATTTGTAATGGGACTGCATTTGGCCCACATTTGTGCCCCAGCCCCATTGACTTTAATGGCTGTTTGACAGGTAGTACCACCTGTTGACTAGCCATGCTGCATTAAATTTTCTGCAGTCACCAGCTGTGGATGATGTTTAGCCTTTAGGTGGGCGGCCTGAAGGTGGTAAATCCGTGGCTCAGCCACCTGTTTGTAATGTGACTGCATTTAACCCA